CCCCCCCCCCTCTCTCTTTCTCAGAAATCGTTTGTAATAACACTATCATATCGATATGTTTATATTAAATAGATTTTGTTTTGTTTTTTAGGGGGCCATTACAAACATTCTGGATGAGAATGTGGTGCAACCAGTTCTTGTGTCTATCAGTGCAATCCAACTGGCCTCGGAAACCGTTCGAAGCATTATGAAGATTGATGATATTGTAAGTATATAACATGTGTTTATTTGTAGATTATCGGAAATGTGAACTGTTTATACTGTTCTGGACTTGTGTAAACAAAATGTTTGACTAAATCAGCAGATACATTTATTTCTTTTAAAGCTCAAATGGATTTTTCTTAGAAATTTGTAAATTTGTATTTCATTGATATTAATTGATATTGTTAGGAAAACACAACTTAAAAATTAAAATACATTTAATTTGAAAGGTGACTGTTATTGTTTTTTTCTTTAGGTAAATACAGCAAGATAATATTCCTTGTGATATGAAGCTGCAATTGTCAATTAAATGATGAATGTAATGTTACCGTCGCATAGTTTACTGAATAATGGAATATTGCTGCTGCAAGCAGAACCAAGAAAGGACAATGCTAAAACTGGGTGTCATGGTTTAATAGGTTGCTGCTGCTTTGTAGCGTAGCAGGATGTGTGTACTCGCTTCCGTATCTCCGTGTTAACATAATGGTTATTTTTTTGTAGCATCTTAATGCTATTTATGACGGTCCTTATCGATGTTGAAGACTTGCTAATGTGTAAAGGTACATTGCAAAATATGTTTAGAAGATTTACAATTTAATACTGCTGAGAAGAGGAATATAAATCTACATAAAGTACTTTATTATGTCGCCCTCTAGAATGAAATTTGCACAATTCCAAGAGTATTTTATTTCTAGTACATATTTGCCTTATTATTTAAAATATATTTAAAGAGGGTCGGCTAATGTTCACAAAAGGAGCGTCACAAACAATATATATTTATTGGTTTACTTATAAGAATTTATTCCATGTTCTTGAAAGAATTAAAGTAGTTCAACAAGATTTATTCCAAACAACTCAATGTTCTTGAATGTCTTCCCATATGGTTGATCACATTTATGAATATTAGCAAAGATATATGCACATCTTAACACTGCTGCAATACAGTTAATTAGAAGATGATGACATTGCTGCAGCTAGGTCATTAAACAAGCGCAACAGTTAACAGCATTTCTCTTGTGTAGTGCGGGGCTATATCTATACTCTATGTTGGTTGTTGTAATGCTGTGCGTAGTAATTTTTTGTCTGGGCAAGTGCCCACCTTTGCAAAAGATTGAATAAAGTTCAGACTGTGGGTCTACTGTATGTGATAGCCTCAATTCATGGAACGTGTTTACAAGCATTATTTCTGAAGCATTTTATTTTTAATGCTTAAAATGTGAGGATTTTTTTTACTTGTACTCTAATATGTTTATGGAAAACAATGAATAAATACAATGGTAGAGACCACAATTATTCATTCATTTTGTATTGTCTTTTTTTGAATAGTTTTGGTGGGTAATAATAATTCATAATTTTATCACTTTAAAAACAGTAAAATCCGGCTACATTATGCACATTCAATATTGTTGCCACGATTTCACAAAACAATCTTAACCTGATTTTATTCCAAAATAAAATTTAAATTTAATATTTCTTTAACAATTAATCCTTGGGTCTTATAAGCTTTTGTAAGCTGATAATTAATATTTACTACCTCTTAAGTTTTATTTACCATATTCACCAGTACACTGACCATTACCGTGCGATACATCGATTGATACGACGGTTACCGTTAAGATTACCTTTTTTACTTGTTAAGACAGAATCGGAATCATTCATTATGGTAAATAAAAGAAATTGATGTATATGATATAGCACCTAACATTAATTGAACCACTAGGGTAGGGTCACATTATCTAGTTTAATGATGGCCTACACAAAAATTAATGTTCGTCTGGAAATCATAATGTGGACAATAAAAAGTCGAGTACAGTACTGTACTTTTTTGATAAGCTATCTAAAAATACGATTGGCGTAATAAAGATTTACTGTACAGTATATGGCATGCAAATCATTTCAAAGAACAGCAAAGTCACAGTTTTATCAAGTTGATTTTGAAAGCAAACTGCAAAGTAATCATAATGGTGCATGGAGTAATCACCCATTAAAAAAAAAAATGTTCTCATAAAGTTATAACAAAATAAGCAGTATGCCGTTGATGACGAAGCAGCTGCTGTTTTTTTAAGTGTAGCACGTACGCGTAAAGCAATCTACTAGTTCAGAAGTTATGATAAATACAGTATAGTGGTGTAAAATTTGACAGGAGGGGTATGTGTGCTAGGGTGCTAGAATGAGTCAATTCTTAACTAGTATAATTGGTTGATCAAGCTTTCAGTGCCCCCAACATTTTTTTAGGAGCAAAAGGTGGGCCCTACACCCCTCGTGCTTGCTACAATACCCTCCCCCTAATATGTCACCACTGGGAAAAAGTAAAGATAACATTAACTACTGTACCCCCCCCCCCCAATATGCCACCACTGGGAAAAAGTAAAGATAACTACTGTACTAGAGTACAGTAATACAGTGATGCCATGTTTGAGGGGACTATACTCAAAAAGGGGAAGCAATAACAATTCAATATCAGACAGAATCAGTGTTTACATATTTAAAAAAATTTATTTTATAATAAATATTTTTCATGACATTTTTGGTAAGAAATTGTTTAATTTATAACCATCTGTGTTAAAGCATACTGAATAATTAACAACTTTATCCACTAAATTGTAAAATAACTGAATGAACTTGTAGGTTTATGCAACCTAGAAATTAAGTCTGTTCATCAGGACAGTTAACAATAACTTTATCACCAGCATCACTTAACTAATGCTCTCCATCAGTGGTACATTACATAGCAAGTACAGGGGTGGCGCCAGGATTTGCCTGATGGGGTGGGGTGGGCTGATGTCCCCACCGAGAGCAAAGTGTGCGTGGTCGGACATCGCGCAAAATCTTTCTAAAGTGGTCCAGGGGGAAAATCCCCTAAAATATGACAATTTAGGGATTTCAAAGGCTTGGTTTATGGATTTTAGTCTTCTGTAGAAAATAAATTAAAACAATTTTTCCCACCAGTGTATTTACACAGATCGAAATAACCAATGTGATGCTCCCTTAATCCTATATTTCTGTGCCTATCATTGTCTGAAAACTTTCCTTCTAACACTATGAAGAAAGACACGGAATCCAGGCCAGATGGTTGCCATGTTCCTCCGGTACCAGTCTTTGTTGTAACTTGCCATTCGCTCTTTATGATCTTCTAGAAACAGTTGGTAGAACTGCGCCATTTCATCAGCAGTTAAAACATTCTTAGTTCCTGTGTGAAGACAATTACAGTAATTGATTTAGTGTTTGTTTCATAAAAATGACTATTTAGTTTGACTATTGTTCATGTATTGTAAAAACTATTTGTAAAGTAACATAACTAAGCTTTTCATGTGTAAAATTTCATTTTATTTCATATTTTAAAAAATTGACATATTGCAAATTTTAAGCAGATAAATAATGTTATATATAAAATAAGTAACAGATACATTTGCCTGTCAAATCATTAAACAAAACATTGAAATATGTAGTTAAATATAGACTGTAAGTATAGACTATGAAACATAACAAGATATCACTTAAATTAACTTGCCATCTTCATTAACAACATCCATTCCATTCAGCTTGAGCATCTGTGTAGTAAATTGTTCTTTTGCCTGAAACACAAATAACAAAATACACATTATAAAGCAAAGAACAACTTCTAAAATCAAGACTAAAAGCATGAAATATTATACACTGTTTTGATAAATATCTATTGGAATAATTGGATTAATGTTCATGAGTGCTCCTCTATTCTTTTGTTTAAATATATATATTTTTTTAATTGTTTTATTAGAAATTGTTATACAAAACATAGATATATGTATGAAGTTGTTTTTTACAATAGAATATTATTATTATAATAAACAAAATACAAATATTGCATTTTCAAATTTAAGACATTTACTTTTACAAAAAGCTTGTTTTGTTCCTCCCAGAATGAATGGTTCCATTTTAAATTTTCTTCTTTCATCTCTCGATAGGCTCGTTCAACATCACTTTCATTTTCCAGTCGCTTGTAATCAATAAAACGTATATTGGAGAGCTTGTTTATGGGACCGATCCAGTCGTTTTTTCTATAGCAGGGTGGCTTCAAAACAGTGTTGTTATTATTAGCTTCTGCTGACTTTGTGGCCTGATATATAGAAAAAGAACTTTTTAAAAAATTGTTTCGTATAAGGGTACAGAATTAGCAATAATACAATAATGACAATAGACAGGCTATACCATAATAATGTCTTATGCCGGGCACTCACTACGTCGTACGGCCCTGCGAGCTGCTAAAGCCTAAGTTGTCGGTGGTAGTCTGAACGGATTTTCGGGCGCACAAACACCCAAAAAGGTTTTTTTTTTTTGTAATTATAAATTATAAAATAAAGAACGAACAACATTTTAACAACTCAGGAAAGCAAGATTCACAAAATTAGTAGGCCTAGACCTACATCTGTATCATGTCAGAGCTAGTAGAGTTTACACATCCAGTGCATTATTCTAATCTTATCTCCTAGGCCTAGTGGTGGTCTCAAACCAAACCTGAGGACGATAACCCATTCAATCATCAATGATTCAGATTGAGATTCAGTACCTTCCCTGCTGAAGTAATGCGGTTGCCGATATTTCGCAAATATAAAACATTTCTATGGTAGCGAAACATTTTCATATACACATCATGATATAAATGGATCTCATAAAGAGTTTAGTGCGCAGCTTTCCTTTAATGTAGCAATAAATAACAACAAAATAAGATCAAGCACCGGCTTCCATGTGTATTGTTGATTAACGAATTAGCAACAGAATAGATCCATTGGCAGAAAGGACTAAAAGTTGCCAGGTAGTTTAGTAAGTCTACTAGGCATATATAATATATAAATAAACTAATATTGAATTAACTATAAAAATTATTTTAAGCGTTATTTATTAGAGTTTTAAAAGTCATAAATTTGATTAAATATTCATTAACTTAGATTAAATGTCATATACATTGATAATAATTTTTATGTTCTTCTCTGGAAATATTTGGAAGTGTGTGTTTCGTATCCACTGTGATGCCTATTTCAGCTGGCGGATCACAGCACGCATCTACCGCCCATCGGATGCACGTTACTCAGGCCTAGACCTAGATAACTGAGGTAAATATTTCATATTCTGTAGCAACCGATGCCTCTTTAATAAATATATTGCCACAAGACTAATTACATATTAATAACTTTTCGCACATATACATAATGGTGTAGGGAATTTAAAAATGGCTATTTTAGAAGTAAAGAAATTAGCCAGCACTGCAGGCAGTCAGACTCATCAGAGTCTCAGGCTACTCGCCTCTCTCTTTAGCCAGATAGATAGCCCGGGTTATGGTTAGGCCACAGTGGTGGTAAAGTAGCATTTTGGCCTAGGCCTAGCCTAACATAAACATTGGAGCCTAGGATTTAGGCCAGTACTCTAGCTAAGCTGGTACTTTGCAGACCTAGGCCTATAATATACTCAAAGCCATCAAGCTTTCAGTATAATATTGTAGGTTATACATGGGATATGTAGCCGGCAGTAAAATGGAAATTGTTACACATGATTGTGTTGAAGGTGATGATAAGTGAGGGTGTACTTATCCTGGCAAACTTGAGTTGTTAAAATAGTACACTTCGGAAGTTTCAAACATCCATTTGTATTTTTTTAAACAGGTAACTGATGTGTAATTTGAATTAAGCAAGCTACTGGAGTGATCAGCAATGCATGACAGCGAAGTACATAGACGAAGTCATTCTTCTTATGACAGAAAAGATGACAGAATATCAAGGAAGGATGAACACAAAAAGAATCACAGAAAACGCAAAAAACATTCAAGTTCTTCAGATTCCAGTCGATCTTCCTCACGGAGTAGATCTAGAAACCGAAGTAAGCACAGGAAGAAGCAGAAGCGGCAAAGATCGAGTAGCAGCAGTTCCTCCAATTCTAGTGGAAGTGATAGCAGTGACAGTGAATCAGGTAAAGAGAAGCGACATAAACACAGTCGTAAGACACATTCGAAGAGAAGTGATTCCAGCAGTTCACTCGACTCCAGTACCGATTCTTCAGACTCTTCACGTGCGTTACAGTTTGTTCTAAGTTGCTTGTTATTTAATTTTTGGTCATCAAAACTAAATTTTTGAATTCTAATTTTCGATTTCAAAAGCAAGACCATGTGTTTTGCCTCTTAATACAGAATAATGAAAAACAACATTGCAATATTGTTTTCAGGAACGTAAGGATGAAGTTTTTAAAGTTCATTCTTGTGAAAATTTAATTGCTTAGGTCTGTTTATATGATCAACAGTTTTTTTTTTTTTTTGTTAAATTGTGTTTATGCCTTCATGGGCTTCTTGAGCAATTCTCAGCAAAGCTCCATATGTCCAATGAAAGCTAATTTAAGAGTATACCGGGAGCAAGGCTTGTCTTCTATTAACAGTCAGTTATATTTTTCCAAACACAGTACTTTATTTTTATGTGCTTGAAATATTTTAATTTCATTTTGTAAAATAATGACTATAAAACTAACATTTAAAAAAATATTTTTGCAGCAGACAGACGGAAGAAGAGGAGAAAAGAAAAAAAGAAAAAACACAAGGTAACTATTTTAAATTAATGTATACTATTTGTATTTTAATTAAATTAATCTATAGATATAAATTTCTTTAAATTGTATGTTTCATAAAATTCCAGAAAGAAAAGAAAAAGAAATCTAAACGAAGTAAATCTACAAAGAATTCAGGACCAGTACAGTTATCAAAGGTAAGTTTGTTTCTTTTTATCAGACACATCTATAGATGACACGTATATATATGAGTTGTAAAATGCTTCATTGTGACCCAGTCGGTAGTATTTGGGGATGGATGCAGGCCCGTAGCCTGGCTTAATTTGTGGAAGATTTTTTTCAGTGGAAAGTGGACCCTTTGGAAACATTATACAATAACAAAACCACAACACAGATAAATGCAGACTTGAAATACTTCAAGCTTGTAAGATCTTCGATACTCTGAAGAACATTGTAAAAATACCTACAAATATAAATTTTTCGTTTTTGAATGCGGGTCTTCTCCAGTTTTTGGGCAGTTATTCGTAACCCCACCCCCCCCCCCCCCCCCCCCCCAATGCTACAGGCCTGGGATGTAAACAATGCCTGCAGGTTTTTAAAAAAATTTATACGCTTTCATAACATAAACAAGCATACAAGAAATCCAACATGTCAAATATAAAAAAATATATTTCTGTACTTCTAAGTATTTAGAAATCTTATTAATCATGGTTAAAGTGTGAGAGTGTAATTACAATTTTAATTTTTGTTGTTACACACATTTTAAAGCTTCTTATGTGAAAAATAGTATTCTAAATATAACAATAAAATTAAGTAACTGCAAACTTGTTTTGCCATTTTGTGTGTCCTTTTTGTAAGTAGGCATGTGATTTACTTTGTTCAATTCTATTATTTAAAGTTCATGAAAGAACAGAAAGAAAAAGAATCAGCAAGGAGTATTATATCAGGAAGGAAAATCAAAATGAAACTAAAAAAGAGTAGTAAGGATATATGTAGCTTTGATGATTTATATTATATTTATTCAGCAGTGTTAACGGCTAACTTCCTACAATATCATATATTATGTATATATATATATATATATATATATATATATATATATATAAATATATTCTTTAAATGTAAAATATTGAAATGTTAATGATAATGAAGATAATTATGATCAAGAGGAGGATGATATTGAATATAATAACAAATATATAAATAGGATAAATGACATTTCACAGAAGATGTTTTTAATAAAAGAAAAAAATACATTTGCACAGCTGTTTGCTGAAAAACTTCCTTTTTAAATCCAAATTCCACACAATGCATAACTTAATTTAAATTATTTTGTTGTTTTTAATTACAGCGTGACAGGAATCGAGAGGAGCTGCGTCATTTTCTTAACGCAACAATGTGATGAAACAGATGAACTTCAGTAGAAATGTCAATTGACCAAGATATTTAAAAAACGTTGCTACAAAGTATGTAGCAGAATGAGGATTTGTCCTAATGGCAGCTTGTGCTGTTCGTCTTTAGCGGGTGCAATTCTATGCAACACAATGAGGTGCGGTCAAAGGATCGTTTTTAATGATGATCGTCTCAGACTGACAGCGGAGCTGGATTTTTGCGGCAGACAGTTGCACCGCATGCACAATGTCTGCCCTGCTCGACAAAATGTGTTGTGTGGTTTTGCGGTGAAGGGACCTGTCTTCCCGTTCTAGACATTCAGATTGATCTCACTTTCTCTTGGTAAACAATTATTGCATTTGAAAAATGAAACAGCATACTGTAGAATGATTAATTGAAGTAGTGCCACAATTTTTTTATAAATTCTATTATTTTGAGAAAAACTTAATTTACAAAAAATTTAAGAAAATCATTGATAAAACCCTAAAAATCGCAAAAGGATGTGTGAAGCCGAGGGCTGAATAGGAAAATAATAAAAAAAAAACCTTTAAAATAATTTAATGCCTAATCATATACATGAAAGTAACAACAACAAAATGATATAAAAGCTAATATACTGCACAAAAAGAAGAAAATCGACTTGAATGCAATTTATACATTATTAGTATTAGTACAGTATTATGGTTTGATACAGCATTGAGGATTGGATTGAAGCACATGAATTGTGATGGAGGCGAGGAAATGAATTATTTTTATAGCGAGGAATGGCAATAATATACAATGAAATTGTCAATTATGAGATAGAACTATGAATGGATATGGTCTTGTAATTAGTTTTGTCATCTGCTCTTGAAACTGAGAAATCCTCTAATACCTGGCACTCATGCACCCGACAGTCGCCGGCTGACGCGATTTAATATATTCATATATATTTATATATAATGAAATTAGGTTGCTGCATAGGCAGAATCAAATAAAAAAGATATCAAAGTTATGTATCTGCCTCAGAATAAATTATTTATTATTGTACGTGTACTTTCGACCATAGGTCATCATCAGGTACTGATTGAAACATAATTGACGAGAATATATACAGAACGATTGAACACTATAGAAAATCGGCAAATGACAAAACAAAACAAATGGACAGTAAACAAAAACGCCTAAGCGGCTGTACAGTAGCCAAAATAAAATGTCATAAAACAGCTTAAAGCTATAAGACGCCTAAAGCGCGGAGCAGTTCACCACGCTGGATACTTAACAAAAGAAAAATACATGCATAATATACAGTATGTCTTTGAATGTCATGATTAGGTGAGACATTTTTTATGCCTTGTTTAGCGAACCTACCGCCCACCAATAATGGAGATTTCGAATGAAAATGAAATTTTATATTTGGAGAATTAGCCTACCCACCGCCACGAAGAAATGGAAAATTTTTCTTTATTTTTATTACGCCTGTTGCTGCCTTTATATCTCCAAATATAGATATGTATATTTCTTCCTAATTATATAAATTTGAAGCATTTAACCATCAAATTACTACACTGTTTACATTCAACAATACAATTTTATTTTCATTTTCTCCTCCGTCTGGATGTTTTTGGAAGAAATATATATTAAATTAAAAAAGACAAATTTTATTTTTATTTTTTTCCTCCTTCCTCTGACAATCTTTAAAAAAATAAGTTTGCGAAACAAGGTATAGATCGTATGAATAAGAAATACAAAATAACATTTCGAAAAAAAAACTCTTAAGATAATGGGCATTTCCTAACTAGCAATTGTTAAGTGTAACCTATTAACCAACAAACTGTCGGTAACATTAGACAACAATGTTGGCGGTGAAATGGCCTATACAATTTTGTTTATCTCTTTTGGCTCTTTGATATTTATGAACTACCGGCAATATATAAATTTGAACAAAACTGTTGAGAACAGTGTCTATTGACTTCAGATGGGATTTGAGCCAGAACTTGAAAACAGTTAAGAATGGTGATTCCTGTACATTATAAGTTATTAGGCAGTTGGTCTCAAAGCGGAAGATGATCCGATGGTAACTGTTGCCAGTCTTCAATTAATGTAGGTCTACTTGCCGTAAATGTTTATAGCTCAGGTGACCTGCGTGGTTATATACTGGTAGGATAAACCTGTGGATGAAAGCTTTTGTTAATATAACACAGTTGATCTTGCACACCAGAACTTGAAAACAGCTTGATGGTAAAGGTAACTTTATTTCTTTCTTTAAAGCCAATCTTCGGAAGAAAAAAAAAACTTGATATTATGTTGTAGGACTACAACTGATTTTTCCAAAACTCAAAAAAGGGGTTAGACGAAAGCTCTGGAATGGTTAATGAGATAAACCTCTTTTCCTTCTTTCCCCCAATTTTTTAAATATTCAAAAATCTGAATCTCATTAACCGTTTCTAAGTTTTTCGTCAAACACCTTTTTTGTGTCTTCGAAAAATGAGTTGTACAACATCAATCTGTTTCCTCCGGAGACTGGCTGAATTGAGCAAATAAACCATAATTTTCAATTGGTTTAAATTAAATTATATTAAAATATAAATGTATCGTTTCGCCTATGCTGGAAATAATTCAATACCGTGGGAATATTTATTATATTTTTCTACGTTTTAAAGATTGTAAGTTGTTTAATATTTTAAAATTCTGTGATATTTTTTCATCTTCGAAACCTTGATCTGTGTATATTTTTGTCGTGATGTTCCCTTTCGTAGTTCATTCTGTAACAGAGGACATGATCGGATACAATTTTTTTTCAAACGGGAGGGGGGAGGGGTGTCGTAGGGAGTTTTCTGAGGCCCTATTGGAACATTTTGTGTTTGTATTCTATTTTTTTTTTTTTTAATACATGGCATTTTTTAAAAATGTAGTGGCAAAACAGGGTGGTACCCGTACCCCACCCCTGTTGGATTCGCTCCTGGGGAGGGGAAACGAATGGGCTGTTCCCAAAGTGGTTTATCCTTATGAGACCTGTATACAAAAATATAAACTGCACAAAAATCTCCAACGAGATTCAAGGTCCTGTCTTTGCGTCTCCTTACAGATAATTTAGGTATGGGCTCCTTGTTTTCCTTTTTCCTTGTCTATCCTGTTGTCATACTTCGTTTCTCCTGGATTCTGGAACGACGAAAAATGGAATAGAAAAATGGTTTCAGAATATATTACACTCATTTATAAGGAGCCAATTCCAAGAATGATTAAAGGCGCGAGCGTTATAACCCCTGGTACATGGTCACTGGATAACGTACAATGGCAAACCAGCACAAAGTGCAACTTCCTCTGCTCCCTGGGGAGTATCCCTAGTCGTTCGCTACTTCTTTAGCGCACGAAATTATTAACATTCAATGCCACAACATCCTACCAGGTACCCATTACTCCTGGGTAGAGAGAGGCAAACGTAGATAAAGTGCCTTGCCCAAGGACACAAGCAACTTGCACAGCGAGAGTTTCGAACCCCTGACCCCAAGGTTGGGAGTCCAAGCCACAATCGATGTGCCAACCACTTCTAATAGAAGTGTATAATTAATCTTAAAATATTTATCAGAAGATCCAAGATTTTTTCGTAAGCGGACGGATGTAAATTTGTCAGTAATACAAAAGGTGCGGTCAGAGTACCTTCAAATTAAATTGTTGGGATTAGCGAGGCCTACCATCAAATTCCACGAAATGCTTGCAACACAATTTCCGAGAATGTTGGTGCGTAATCTTCCTCGGTGCGGGTGTGGCCTCAAGTTTATAAATTGATATTTAAAATGTTTTGTTTTTGCTTTTTTTAAAAAAATGTATTCTAACGAAATAGACCTATTTAACTAAATACCATTCTGTGAGTAGATAATAACGGATATCGTAACTTTATTTTTAGTGCGTAATTCAGGTGCTCCAACAGCAAACTCAATTGTCTACTCAGCTAAGACATTATGCTACCGTTGGTGGCGTTCTATAACCAACTTTCTCAAAACCGGCTTTAGTAAACTTCATACTGTATACAATGTTTCTTTTTCATTAATAGTTAACCTGAAAATGAACATAGAAGACGGAAATACGACTGGGTCCGAATTTGATCCGCATTCAAATTGCACTCTTCCTGACATAAGGACAACTCCATTGTACCAAAATAAAAACGTATTTCTATTTTACTTGGTATCCTTCGTTATAATATGTGTTCTGATTCTTCTTGGAAACAGCATTGTTCTCTGGGCATTCGCTACAGACCAAAAAATTCGTTCTCGAAAGTATGTCTTGATTTTTAGCCTATGCCTTACTGATCTCGCTACGGGGTTTGTCATACCAATACAGATACTGGCGCCTCCCTCTGTGATAGACGCATTTGGGTTCTCTCTCCTCCTTATTTCTGTGTCAACGAATCTCGCTATAGCCGTCGACAGATTCTACATTCTGGTTGTTGCAAACTTGAACATTAGCCGAAAAGGGGCAACGGCTAAACAGTTGATTATTTTCTGTGTACTGTTATGGGTCGGCATTCTAGCTTTTATTTTACCGTGGACCATTTATCCGTATTACTATATTTTAATACTATACACCCTGGGTCCGTGGAGTGTTGTGGCAATAATGATCGGTGTAACTGGTCTATATATTTCCATATTCTACACCATGCGGAAAATGGACAAGCAGAAACAGAAAAAGTTAGGAAAGGGTGATTTTAAGCGGACCAAAATGGTAGTTCGTGCATACGCCGTCATTGTCGTCTGCTTTGGAGTTTGCTGGTTACCATGGTGCATTGAAGCAATACGCATAAGTTTCGAGAGCTACTTTACACCTGATAACCAGAGCTGTTATGTAGCCTCTATTGTAGCCTGTTTCCTGCTGAATTTTGGCTTACTGAATTCCGCCATTAATCCCCTCATCTACTGGAGAAAACTCCACGATTTTCGCCATGCTATAAACAACTTGCCGATCTTCAGGCGCTGTATGACTAGATGTTGCGTAGACAACCCAGAATCAACTACCGGAAGAACACGTATGCATAACAATTATCAAGATGGAACAGCGGTGTATGATGGACGCGAGGTTCAATTAGAATAACTGGTTATTTTAATTCCATCGTCGGTTCGATTTGGTCGACACCACATTCACTTACCCGGGACCGTCCTGCTTCCTATGCGCAAGGTAGATTCATCAGGCCTTTCTTTCAACAATGAGAACTCAGCGTTATCGCATGCTCGATAGATTGTACGTGACGTCATAACGTTCTAAAATCTTATCACAGTCGAAAGCTTCTTACTGGACTTGAACGATGAAATTAAATATGTAAATTTTTGCAAACTTTGTATATGTAAGTGAAGACACTGCTTTCCATTTTATGCTAAAATGTATATATATATGTGTGTATATATATATAATATTGGCCTACCCAATATTGGTTTCCAAAACCAATGTCAATGATATGGGGAAATCCTGTAACACTCAGAGGGAAAATTTATTATCTCAGCCTGTAACAGGCAGGCTAAACCCCCTTAATATCAAACTTACTTTACTTGCTTGCAGATTATCAGGGGAGCAATAGCTGTCTCTTATACACATCTAGATGTGTATAAGAGACAGATATTCAGTAATTGCATCTTTATCAGATTTGACCCTATACAAATACTCTAAATAGATAATCCTAAATGAACAAACGAATTGACTTCGACTTCGGCAGCACTTTTTTTTGACCTATTTTTTCTGAACTTACATTTAACAGCATACTCGTGGCCTACATCGCCGTACGGCATATTAAATATGCTCTAAAACAAAGTTGACTGAGTTGAAAAGATTCGCTTTACGTATTCTGGCACATTAATATTCTAAAATAGAAGAGTACAGATTCGATTATTATTTTTAATCTTGGCTAAACACCGCTTTGTTTGGTTTTAGATTACAAACACATAATGTAAGCTACTTAATAGCGAGATATGAATTTAATGCTCCCTCATATCAGTGTCGGGACTGCAATTATGTGTCTAATATTAACTACAGTGTCTGAAGTTTATTTCTGTGCCTCGTGAACTTGCATACAAAACGAGCTTCCTGCCTATCGAACACTTGGGAGAGGGTCCGCTCGTCGTTGTCATTCCTACAGACATATTATCCTATAATTACAACGCTTTAAGATGACCAATCTTGAATATTTAGCCACAATCGTTATAATTGTTCAGGTTTGTATTGTGTCGTCTGCCGTGCTGAACGAAGACGCAATACAGAGGGAAAAATACACACAACGTAAGTATTCATTTCCAGTGAGGATTGTCGGGAGTGGTAGGGAGGGGTAGCAATTTGTATGCACTTTGAAACAACGTGAACTTGAAACTATTAATAGTTAGACATTCGTCTCGTTATTTAAAAATCTAGGTAGGCCTACCCACAGTTTAGGATTTTCTACGTCACATCGTTTAGCATATGATTCTTGTAATGGTAGGCCTAGGTTTAGTGTAAGTCTCTGTTAAATTTATTTGGTAGTTCACACGGATTAAAGTTTCTAGTTAGCTGCCTCCACCATCTGAATCATCTCCGGCCGATGAGTCAATCTTTTTTTTTTCATTTTGTCACGTGGTTCACTTCTGTTATTCTATATACAGTATTCACATTGGCGGGAGTGATCTAATTAATTGTTGTTTTCAATTCAATAATTAATTTTAATAATAATAATAACAATAATAGCAAAAAAGAGCACACACAAACACTGCAAGCATAGGCCTATATCTCTTTATTATAATAATAATAATAATGCAAATAATAATAATGCAAATAATAATAATAATAATAATAATAATAATAATAATAATCTTAATAGGCTAATAATAATAACTATTATTGCATTATGATTATATTTCATTATTCCATTATTATATTAATATTATTATTGTTGTTGTTATCATCATTAGTAACATTTAAGTAGTGTTATCTCCGATAATTTATTCGTTTCTTTGTCAAAATTTATATAGAGTAATTAAGTGCAAGTGATCGTCACCATCATCATCATAACAACATCATCATTATCATCACTATCCTCATATCATCATCATCATCGTCGTCGTCATCGTCATAACAACATTAGTATTATTATCATCATCATCATAACATCATCGTCATCATCATCTTCATCATCACCACCATCATAATCATTATTATAATCATCTCATTATAATTATAAATGTTGTATCCGTCTGCATGTTTGTTTTTGTGTGGTTTCAGAAAAGTACGAGCGCTATCTAAACTACATCCAGTACCCTTCCCTTGGTGGTTTAAACTTCACAAATTTACCCGGATTTGACTGTTTTAGCTCACCAGAATGGCCTGTAAGTATTCATTGAGAAATAACCAATTTGAAAACACAGTTGCACAACAGTCTATTTTTAAGCTTCTACAATGCTGCTGTTGTTATATTATGTATAGTTTTAGGTACAGCATATATTGTTTATAGTATAGGCCTATGTAAGTTTCCGAACTAAAAGAGAGATAAAAAGAAATTGTTGTTGAAAAATTGATCAATTTATAATCAGGAATAGTTGATTTAATTCTTGACGATTGATTAGTTACTGAACTGTAATCAAACATTCCTGTCAAGGTTCAAGTAATATACTTTTGAGTCAGTATTTAATTTTCTTCAATTACAATATTGAGTCCTCATACTAAACACGATTGTTTGTCTGATGGAATGAAGATGTGCTTTACATTATCATATAGTGTCTGGTGCCTGGTTTTGAGAAATATTCTGCTTTTTCTTTCATATTTTGAAGGGTTTAAGAAGATTCGAATTTAAATGTAACGCCTTAACACCGTCCGATGTTGTGCCTGAAAACGGTAAAATCAAACAAATCATTTGTTTAATGTTGAAATAGATGATCATAGACTAGTATTACTATAGTATTAGTAATTAGGTTTAAACGTTGAGGGCGCAGTATTTAAATATGTTTCCAATATTGTAATGCGTTTTAACATATGAAATAGTTAATGTAATTGGTTACATCCATCACTTCCTAAAATTTCGTTGATATGTGATTGCCTAATTAACCTTTATGTACCTTTATCATTTTATAGTCCATTTACTTCGTCCAGCGGATATCAAAGTTATTGGAGCAATGGGCGACTCCCTCACGGTGGGTAGCCTAATTTTATTATGAATGTTAAAATACTCTGTCTCGAAACGAGTGCTTACGTCACACGTTTTAAGCTTGTCAGTGTGTATATAGTCTACGCTCTAAATCGTAGCCAATCACATTGACGAAAATTTCAGCACGTTTACGTTTTCAATAGTCACACCTACGCTAGATTATCATGTAAAAACACAAGACTGCCATCTTGAAAATACGTTAACTACCATACTTTTTGAACCATGACAGAATCAATATTTTAAGTTTCAATATTTTCTAAAACTGATGTAGGCCTAAATTTGTTTCTCCACATTGTCTTTACCAGGCAGCGAATGGAGCGGGTGCGTGTTTTTTACCTCAGTTAGCATTGGAGTACAGAGGAAAATCTTTCAGGTACGATACGTCACACGTTTTAAGCATGGTCGTCGTGTTTCTCTAAAGATGAACATTAACATTAACATTCAGATCCTCACGAGCCATAATGATAAATAATGTCCACATCACTTAGCCTAATGCTTGTTTTTTGGAATTATACACCGTGATTTCAGCGATTTTCTGCAATACAAATTATGAAGGTGTGTGTGTGTGGTTCTACTTTTTCTAGGTTTTTGTTGCTTATTGTTTTTTTATAAAAAAAAAAAAAAAGTTCCGTTATAAATTATTTCTTGCTAGTCATTTTCATAATTAAAATTGTTCAGTATTTCATTCCTTAGTTTGTTATTAAAAAGCATCAAATCAGAGACCAAGATTATAATATAATTGCATTATTATTTTTAAACAAGGAATTACAAATTCAGTTGAATTTACGTTTAGTTCAATTGCATTTTTTCTTAAGTCTAATTCTATCGAAGTAGAATCATAACAACAATTTACTTAATATATAAAATGCAATAAGAATTAACTCAACGCAATTACAAAGCTCTTGCGTTATTTCCTAGAACCAAACAAGGGTGGCGCCAGCGGGGGCCAGGGCATTCCCATTCCCCTACCTGTCGTGGAGAGGTGACCCCTGTCGGGTAGAAAAACAATTCGTCAATTAGTCGGGGAGAGAAAAAAATATATATATGTATCTTGTATATAGGCCTATTAGTAGACTCTCGATTAAAAAGGGCCTAAGCCTTTGAAACCCCTAAATTGGACCACTTTCTAAACATCTTAAGCGACGCGAAGCCATACCCACATTGCTTTCGTCAGGGAAATCTTCCCCCTAGTCGGTGGCGTCGGTCATCACTGGTCGGGGATCTCGGACCCCTCCCCACGTCGGGGAAATCAGGGCGCCACCCCTGGAACCAAATGAAAACATTTCCACAAAAATGAGTGTGTCATTCTGGCTAAAGATGTTGTAAAGTAAATTAAAGAAATAAAATGACACTTAAGTTGATTGTATTTCACTTACTAGGACGGTTTAGTAAATGAAAATAAAACTTTTCGAGTTTTATTTATATCATTTATTTCATAAGAATAAAAGTATACAAAATACAAATAACATAGAATTACAGATTTAACAGGAGTAATATAGACTGCAGACTGTAATGAGGATATAATATTTTAATAAATTATTCCTGTGACTCTTATGCTTAATTATCTATGAGTTGACCAGGTTGACCATGATTTGACCTACTGAGTTTTACGCGTGTCAAAGACATTTATATCCTGGTATTATTAATAATTAAAGTTGAATAAACCCATAGTAATCAATTATTGCATTGAACTGCTAATTTAAAAGGATCAATGAGACACATAAGGAAACCAGTCTCGCTGATTAACAGCTGTAATACTAAGAAAATCATTGCCAGTGACGTAACGACGAGCCATGGGCTCGGGGCGAGAAATCGTTGGAGCCCCTAGCGTACCAACATGTTCGCTCACGAAGGAAATACATCTAGCTGATTAACAACCCTAATAATAGGAAAGTCATTGCTACCCAATTTAATGATTTTGAAAAGAATACAGAGAATGTGTGAATTATACCACAGACCCTAGGGTCTGTGATTATACGTAGCCTAGATTAATAGCCGAGCAAATATCTTCTTGTTCTAATCTTTAGCCAAAGACTATCAAATTGTATATAACAAAAACGTGTGACATGCTTAAATATGGTCATAATGACTTCACATCATGACCATATATAGGCACATCATGACTAGCTTTGGCTGTGGTCTTGCGCGTTCATTGTCACAATGTTGATTATCCATGAAGCTATCCAAAAATAAAAACAAATGAAATTAAATATTTTGTTAAATAATTTTCTCATTATAAATAAAGACAACAAAATTCCTAATATATATATATATATATATATATAAACTACCAAAAGTCTAAAGAACAGAAGCTTGTTATTTTTAATGTATTTAATCTTGAATGTTCTAATTTTTCTTAATTCATGTAAAAAAAAAATATTTTAAATACAAAAGAATTTGTTTCTGTATTAGTTTCAACAAAGAAGTTTCTGTAATATGGGAGAAATGTTTTTGTTGTTTTTGTTTTTGTTTTTGTTTTTTTTTTGTTCTTGTTTTCAAAATGTCTATCTACTTTTAAATTTCGATTTTTAAT